TCTTTCAAGATCTCTTTAAAGGCTCTTCCAACAGGCCCTAGAAAAGGATGGTTTACAATCAACTCCCTGAAATTAACTTGAAAATTTGTCTTACCTGTGTTACAGAAATCTAGATCCTGATAGAATCTGCTCCCTTTGCTGCCCTGGAGAGAAATGAGTGCCTTGGACTGGACACCGAACAACCTTCCTTCCTTTCTTTGCTTCACCTAATGTTATCACTGGGCAGATTCAGAAACAAATGTCATATTTTCTGTTGCTAAGGAACTTTGGTACTGGAGAAATTAGTCATTTCCTCCTGCCAACTGTTGTGGTTATCACACTCTTTTGCTGTGGTTACCTTCATCAATGGAAAACCTGGCTGAACCCTCACCCAATCCCATTGTGTTTTTCTGCTTCCTGCCTTCATTGCCTGGCCTTGTTTTCTGCTTATAGCATATATTCATAAGATCACAATCACAGAATCATAGGGTTGGAAGGGACCTTGGAGATCTTCTAGACCAACCCCCTGCCCAAGGAGGAGTCCTCATACTGACTCAGACAAAAGGTTGTCCAATCTTTTCTTGAAAACCTCCAGCAATGGAGCACCCCCAACTCCTGGAGGTGAGCTGTTCGACTGTTTAATAGTGCTCACTGTCAGGAAATTCCTCCTTATTTCCAGGATGGATCTCCCTCTGACGAGCTTCCACCCACTGCTTCTTGTCCTACCCTCAGATGCTATGGAGAATAAATCAATGCCCTCTTCCTTGGGGGAGCCCTTCAAGTATTGGAGGACTGCTATCACATCTCCCCTCAATCTTCTCTTCGTTAAGCTAAACACACCTAGTTCCTTTAGCCGTTATTCATAGGATTTGCCCTCCAGACCCTTAATCATCTTTGTTGCTCTTCTCTGTACTCTTTCTAGGGTCTCAGCATCTTTCTTGTGTTGTGGGGACCAGAACTGGATGCAGTATTCCAAACGTTGGCTCACCAGTGTGGTGTAGAGCGGTACTATCACTTCTGTTGAGCTTGATACTAGCTTTCTGTTGATGCAGCCCAAGACTGCTTCTCTCTGGGGTATAACACCCATTATTGGATGTGTTGGTTCTTTGCTGATGTCATATTGGAAACTCTTATTCATTGTATTATTAATATATTGTGGTTTGGGGGGAGGGGGAATTCTCTTTTTTTAAATTCTAATTAACTTTTGTAAGCTTTTGTTTCCTTTGTGACTGAGGTAGCTTACCGTCTTGTATAGCTCATATGCTTATTAGATTCTTCATTACTATTCATAACTATACTTGAAGAATGATGTATATCTGCTTTATTTAAAATCAAGGGTATCTCCTCCGTGTGGCCAATTTAACTAGAAATTTGGGATCCCAATGAGTTTCGTTGGGATACAATTTGTTTTTATATCCCCATCAGGACTTCTTCAAGAATTTCCATGATGATAATCCATAGGTACATTTACCTTTCACAAAATTATATTACATGAATTATAACATATCTAGACTGTATTGGTGGGATTGTAAGTAAAATTGTGATATTATCATCTCAGGGACAATGGCCAATTAGTGATGAAGGGTCAAAAATTTTTAAAGAACGGGGAAAATCATCTTAAATTAACACTGAGTCTTGCTATTAGTTTACTGTCCATTTTTCCTGATACATAAAAACTGATGCAGTACGAGATGCTAATTCAGTTCCTTTTGTTAACTGCTAGGCTTCTTATCACAATACACTGAACTACTAGGAAATTTTTAGCTGAAAACATAAGATAATAAAAAGTTTTTAGCTGAAAACGTAAGATAATAAAAAGTTTTTCTATAGAATGTGTTTATTCCAATTTGGTCACTATTCTTCCATCTACATGAACAATGTTTTTCTTATACAAACATTGCTTTGGATCAAAATACTTAATATGGAAGTTTGACAGGTTTCAACAAATCTGCTTGCAAAATTCCAATGTTCAACCATTTCTGTTTCTAATTTCTTAAAAAAGAACTTTCTAATCCTGAAGGTTTAATAGGCTAGAGATAAATGTCCTACCTAAGGAGTACAATCTGAATGCTTGGGACATGACCGTGCCTAATCGAATGGAGCATCTGATAAAGTAAGCAATGTTCTTAAAATATTTTGGGGCCAATCTTGATAGAGCGATTCCTAGGAAAAGTTGGGACCAAGTTTGGTAGAGATATTTCTGATTACTGATAAAAGGGTACCTTGGAGCCAAACTGGATCCCTTTATGTGGAGGGCAGAAGCCAGCATTGCTCCATAATATTTAAAATGTCTGTAAAAGCACAAAGTGTCTTCTGAGTCAGCTCAGGTCCTGATGACTACCCAGACACAAACAAGTTTTGCTTTTTTGCAATAATATGGAATTGGTTTTCCATTGCCATTTTCAGAATGATTCTTCAGCTTCCCAGTCTAGCCTGTAGCAATGGAATTTCCATGGGAAACAGTAGAAGCAGGTCTGACCTCTGTTAGCTTTTCACTTTAAGAGTTCATATGGAGGTGACATGAACACTTCTTCCTTATGTCATGAAAACTGAACCCCACCCACTTCTGCAACCCTGACATTACTTCCAAGAATCGCTATACGTTAAGAGAAGGGAGATGTTAGTTAGTTAGTTAGGTAGTTAGTTAGTTAGTTTCCCTACAACCTGTGATTATCCAATGACATTGAATTGATTTAAGACAGATAAAAGGTATTCCTCACATAGTCCATAATTCTGAAATTTTATACCCCAGTTTCATGATGGACACTAACATGGATGGCATTGTAACCTCTAAATATGAGGGATTGAGGGGACTGTTACCTTTGTACCTTCTGACCACCCTAGAGGTACTGTATCCATTTATGCAAACTAAATGCTGGATTAGAATCACCTATGATTCATCTGGAGCTGGCACAGGCAACTTGTGGGCCTCTCAGCTTCGTTAGCCATGCTGATCATGGCGTAGTTCAGTTACATCTTCAACAGCGCAGATTCTCTTCCTCCAAAGTGTCCAATAGTGACAGCAGCATGAAGATCAATCTGATTGATCTGAGTGCAGTAAACAGGCACCACATAGTTCCTTAATGGATCCTAGGAAATCACTGTGCACTGTATTCCTTTGTCACTGGGAAACAGTTCATGTTTTACTGAATACATATACAGAAAAGGACACCTCATCAAAAGAGCCAATGCACACCCTGGTCAGATACCAGGAACTTCTGGCGGGAAGAAGGAGACAATCTTCACAGCAGACTTGGACAGGAGGTTCCTGTCCTAGGTCTACATTGAGATTCAACCAGGGGCTTCCCAACATCTCAGTTTATATAGTATTCCTTACAGGAAAGGTTTCATCCTCCAGTTCTCAGCCAGCTGTTTAACTGGGCATAATTAGAAACTCTGTCTCAAAGGCAGCCATAGAGAATACAAACCAAGATGAGTGTGATGGATGGGAGGCAAGGTCTACTAAGGTCCCATCATCCTGGCATGTTACCAGGTGAGGCCATGGCCTTTTAGAAATAAGGACTTGAAATGTCAGTAAAGTTTGTTCTTAATCCAAGCTTGGAAGGCATGTAGCAAGAAGAAAGATTCAGAATGATAGAAACTACATATTTTTCAAGTAGAGTCAAAAAGAAAGAAAGAAAGAAAGAAAGAAAGAAAGAAAGAAAGAAAGAAAGAAAGAAAGAAAAGAAAAGAAAAGAAAAGAAAAGAAAAG